AGTTCGGTTCAGTATCCCCAGAAGCATCATGATCGCCGGAATTCGTTTATCGTTTCCAGTTCCGCTGAACTGTCCGGGCATATGCCCACTAGTGTAGACGAATTCTAATCAAATCTGATTAGCAAGACTCCTGGATTCTAGATTAAAATGAACGAGATGCTCATGCTATGCTTTGCTTGCAAAAAGATGGCCAGAGACGATTTTCAGTTGCACTGTGCTCTGTTCCTCAAAGGCATATATCGCAGTGTTTCAGAAAACAACTTGATGCAGGTAAAGCAAAGATCTCATCGGAATCCGAAATGCAGTGTCGCTGTCCATGCTCCGATCTGAGCTGCCGTTATTTTTGGCAAGATGCAACTGGAATGCGCAGCTTTTTCTATGGATTTTTACTAGCTACCGTTCTGGCTGGCGTAATAATTTGTCAAAGAAAGTGAAACTTTATAGGCCCGAATCTGCGAGAAACGTGAGGAGATGTGAAAGGAAAAGAAAACAGCAATCTACAAAGTGGAACTGTGTATTTTAGTATGCGAGTCCATGGAACTTGTACCAGATGTCTATAAAATGAACATTGAGCACTTGGCCGATGATAGTTGGATCTATCAGGATCAAAGGGCCTGCCACAGCTGCGTTCGGCGTATCAAAGCATCCCAGTAAAAGCATCACTAACATTCTATTCGGACAGTGTAGAAAAGTAAAAATGTGAAGTGATGGTGTCTAACTGATTTGAGCATCTGAATGGATAAAGATTGCTGATTTTTTTCACAAACTTTTGATGTGAGCACACTCAGTACGCATGCATTCCTAATATTTCTGCTAACAGATGAAAGAATGCCCTCAAAAACGGCATGCTGTGGCAACCTCTCCATCCTTTTCTACTGATCTCGCCCTTCCGCAAAATTTGCTACAGCCATTTGAACGGACCTATTCGCCACACTGGTGCCCCCCTCAGCTCCCCAAATACTTTATTAGCAGTAAGTGAACGCCATTAAATAATCAACTTCGGCCATTTGCTCCCCATAATTCCCGTACATCCCCAGCTCATTTCTTCCTGGTGTGTACTGTCTTGATATCGCTCACTGCAACATACTTGCACCTGCCATGACTAGTTCTCCGTTAGTTGAGTAATACACTGATTTTTATATACATGTAAATTGCAAAAACGCATATTGGGAAGAGGCTGTGTGTGTGTGTCTGTGTGCGTGTCTGTGTGTGTCTGTGTGTTTGCACTTTTTGTCACCCAATTTCAACTCAAGAACCAGAAAAGCTAGAAGGCTGAAACTTTGGGGATATGTGCCTATACCATGCGTGACCCTCTCGTTTTAATTTCATCCCCCGTGGACGCCTGGGTGCCGCTTATGGACGCTTTAAAAAAATATGCAAATTTTTTGGCGGGAAAGCGATCTCGGGAATCACAAGAGCAAAGGGGCTGAAACTTTGCAGGAATATTCCCTGTGCATGTACTAACAAAATATTTCAAATTCAGCTTCCAGGTATGCGTGGTACTCACGCAAAGGGCGATTGAAAGTTTTAGGAGGAAAATTGCTAACTCGGGTGCCAGGAAAGCTAGAAAGCTGAAATTTTGTAGGAATGTTCCCTACCGAAGTACAACTCAAATATTTCAAATTCAGCCCCTAGCTATGCATGGTACTCACGTAAGGGCGTACGAAAGTTTCTGCAGGAAAATTACTAACTCGGCAACAGAAGAGCTAGAAAGCTGAAATTTTAGGGTGATGTTCCCTGCGCACGTGCAATTTAAAAATTTTAAATTCAGCTTTCCAGGTGCGTAGGGTATCCACGCACGAACATGTAAAATTTTTGGCGGGAAAATTGCTAACTCGATATTCAGAAAAGCTGGTAGGCTGAAATTTTGGGAGAATATTCCCTGTTTAAGTACAACTCAAATATTTCAAATTCAGCCCCAAGCTATGCGTGGTACTTACGTAAGGATTTATGGAAGTTCCTGCGGGAAAATTGCTAACTCAGCAACTAGAAAAGCTGAAAGGCTGAAACATTGGGGGAGGGGAGGGGGGACGGGAATGTTCCCTGTTCAAGAACAACTTAAGTATTTCAAATTCAGCCTTGAGTTACGCGTGGTTCTTATGTATGGCCACTTAAAATTTTGGCTGAATATCTGACTGAGCAACTAGGTTACTTTTAAAGAACGGTCGTTAAATGGAAATTGTACATCTACTTTATGCAAAATTTATGGTGATTTATGCTGGTGATCGCAAAAGGTAGGTGTAAAACAACAACCCTTCAAGTCCGGTGCAAAAACGCATGATCGCACGGGCTCGCCTGGTGCGTTCCAGTCTGGATTTTCTCTCCAAAATCGGTAGTATCACATGCTTCATCTAAGCGTGCCAGAGCTGGTGGCACGGCCGAATCGAAAACTGTCGCTTTTGTCGCACCTTTTGTGCTGCGGTGTCTGATGTCGTTATTCAGAAAGACCAGCCTGCTTAAAATGCAAAGAGTATCGGAACGAAGGATCGCCTCTGCACACTACTCGCCAGATGTTTGGCATGCAGGATGCTGTTGCGACCACGCGAGAAAGTAAAATCCGATGGGCATGTTGCTCGCCTCGCCGATTAATGGAGTAATGCTGGAAGATACAGTTGTCGGAGAGCTGCAAGACCAGTACTTTATCCTGGAGGTGCAGCAGCTGTCCAATGAAGGTTTTGAAATGCAACGGCAATTACAATAACTCGGCTCGGCTTATGGTCTATGGTGCCTTAGTCTTCCAGCGCTCCGCTCTATCATCTCTGCCTACATTATTTCGCGGCGGCGCTCGCTGGGACTTTGCCAGACGCGCTGGGTAGCGCTACCCAGTCTGGCGGCTGAACCACGTAGCTTACTGGGGAGGGGGATGATAGGTGGGAGGGTTGGACGTGGTGGGGGGTGTTGGTTAGTTGTTGCCCAGGTGCAACTCAGAGGGCATGACTGAAGCCAGGATAGTTGGGAGAAATGAAGTTGCTGATTAGGAGTTCAGGACGATAAACGGTGATAGTTGTGGGAGGTAATGGGTGCTCCGATGCGGCTCTGGAGGCAGAAATTGGGGACAAGATACAGGAGGGAAAGGAGTGTTCTAGTTAGAAGTTCGAGGCAAGAACTGCAGATAGCAGTAAAG